TTTTTTTTAAAGACAAAAATGTAAAAGTAAATTTTTTTTTTCTAAATATTTCTCAAGTTATACATTACAAACTCTTACAGATACAAACTTGTAATGTTTTTGAAGTCTTTGCTAATCAAGGCTGCATTTATTTGAGAAAAAATGAAAACCATAAAATCGTAAATATTATTCTAATGTAAAAGCTGTTTTCTGTGTGAATGTGTTACACTGCAATTTATTTCTGTGAACTGCAGTCTTCAGCGTCACATGATCTTCAGAAATCAGTATAATATGCTGATCTGCTGCTCGAGAAACATTTCTGATTATTATCAATGTTGAAAACAGTCGTGCTGCACAATATTTTTGTGGAAACAGTGATGCATTTTATTTTTCAGGATTCACAGATGAATAGAAAGTTCAAAAGAACAGCATTTATTTGAAAGAAATCTTTAGAAATGTTATGTTATAAAAAATATCAATTTAAAAATAAAAATCCCACTGTAGTGTATTTAAAGACACGTGTATATAAATATATTTTCCCAACATCTGAAACTGATTAGGAAAAAAAACAGCACACATGATGTTTAAAAAATAATTTATTGTTCTTTATGTACAGGAAATATAGAAAACGGAGTAGAAAAGTTATTGTCCAGGAAACTCTCTGTACACTGCATTGAGCAGAAACTCCAGGCTTTAAACTGTACAGATGAAGAACTCAAGAGTACCGAGTCGTGCATGAAACCAGATCAAATCCTCAGTCCACATGAGATAACAGCATCAGTCCTGTGACGTCAGAGGGATTGTGGGTAATCTGTACCATGAACACGTCCGTGAATCACACACGGAAGCTCTTTGGTTTGTGAACAACATGATCGTCAGAAATACTGCGACGAGAGGAGGAACCGCTTAAATCGGCCCAACCACATTTTATGGGGTTTTGGGCACTTGTCAGCTGGTTTGGGAGCCACTGAACCAGCTTAAACCAGATCAGGCCGGTCTAAGCTGCTCTTTTGGGGGAAAATAAAACATTAAAATAAAGATGCATCTCATTAAAGCGGCTAAATACTCAGAGACGACTGTCAAAAACGCATAAGAGCTACAAGAAGAATACAAAGGCATTGATAAATGTAGATGATTTGGTCCGTTGTGAAGGCAGCGCTAACAAGACGAACACTGAACATTAATACTGACCATCGTTCAGATATCATAAAACACACACGTGAGAGAAACTCAACCCCGCGTCCGTCTCTTTGTCCTGCCGCTCAAATAAATACACAGAAAACCTGCAACAACGCAATTTAGAGAACACAAAACAATCGCAATAATGCATTCAGACGAGCTGCTTGTCTGAGATTAATAATCAGAAATAGACATTATCATGGCTGTAAAATAATAACGCATGTGTTTATGTCTTCATGAAGACACAGGAGCGTCCTCAGCTCATCGATGGGTTTACAGCTTAAAAACAAATAAAAGCAGTCAGCTTCGAAGCTGCAAACATGATCCGGATCAGACCTCACAGAAATCTGCGTCAGGGCTGATCATTCACAATTAACATTAAAACATGAAGCCGTCCTCTCAGACACCAAACTAACTCAAACCAGTTAAAACACGTGATCGCTCCTGCTCATCGGCACTGCAAAAAATAATCACTTTCTCAGCATTTTGGTCTTCTGCATTTCTGTTTTTGTGTTTTCCAGTACAAATATAGAAATATACTTAAATCAAGAACGAAATGACTGTATTTTGCTCATTTTGATGAGATATTAAATCTTGTTTTCTGATTAAAAGAAATTAAGTAGGTTTAGGCTTCAAAAAATAAGTGTACTTTTTAATTTGTAGAAAATTTTGAGAGAACATAAAAGTAAAAAATACACTTTATACACATTTTTTAATCTTGGCTGTAAAATAATGTTGACAAATAAATAATGTGTTTGTTTACTTTGTTAACAGCCTTTTTTAAGCCCTTAAGATATTAAGTCATGATTTTTATCAATAAAATTATCAAAATGAAGCAACTTCATGCTTAAAGCAGGAAAAAATAATAATATATATATATATGTATATATATATATATATATATGTATGTATATGTGATTTGATTGTATTAATATATATCATTATTTCACAAATAATATAATAATTTATTTAAATACATAATAATTTAATTTTATATATACAAATAAAACATGCTTCATTCAATTCGATTATTTTCTCTCTTTATTTGTAACTTGATGGACACAAACCAAAGATTATTTTCATAACAAATTAATGAATCCATCTGAAATCAATGCAAAAACACCAGCCGACTAAAAAACGCACCAGACTCTGAGTTCGTCCTCATCTTAACTCATCTCATATGTTTGCATTCCTCCATGTTTCTCGGGTCACTCTTTTCTTAGCATGAAAGATAAGAATGTTATCATTTATTGAGGGCACGTCACTCTGCCTCGCTAACACCAGCGATCGTGGAGATGTCGCGAGTGTGTGTAGTACACTAGACGGCACAATGGGCACACAGAGCTGAATGACATGATTGAGAGCCATTCAGAAAGGTTTGTTTCTCTGTTGAAAGACAAGTAAAACACAATGCTCTTGAATAGGGACATCTTCAAGTGCATTTTGAGGGTCCTCTTGTACATTGACTGTACTCGAGGAGTTCACTTTGGCCTACAGAGCTCTGTTGTGTGACCATAAAGACAGATGCAGCTACTGTAGCCCGTGTGTCCGGCGTTACGGACGCGTGACGTAACCCTCGTTTGGCTCGGGACAGAAGAAACTGCTAGTGAAGGGCCAGACTGTGCTTTATGACATTTGACTTAGTGGCTTGAAACATAGAAAAGCTTTGGCCTTGTAGAGTCTTTGCCATGGCATCGCAGGGCTAATGCGGTTGGTGCTGCAGTGCATTATGGGAGCTTCTGGGAGGTGAGCATCGTTGTCTGATGTAGTGTATGCTCATTTTAAGTAGGGATGGGCATTTATCAAAAACATTGTATTTGAATATTTGGGCTCATAAAAAACGAATATTCGAATATTTGTTTATTTAAATGAGATTTAACGAGAAAGATGTTATTTTTTAATAATCAAGTTTTTGTCACCCTTTCTGAACAAGCTTATGATTAGGCATTATACACAACGTTACATTATATCTTAAGGTTTTCTTTTAGTTGAAAATGTGTGTAAACAAATATATAATATATATATATATATTAGTGAAACGTCAGCTCCTGAGCTAGATCAAGCTTTAAACGTGACGTGACTGGAGAGCCGATTGCAGAGCTGGTGCAAAGTTCTCCACATCGCTATGATCAGATGCTTTCTGAACTGCTGTTTTCGCACCGCTCTCATTTTTGTCGTGTTTATTTCGTTATTGACAGGAAAGCTCGCAGCACATATCTACATATTCACAGTGGTGACATACTTAGACAGGAATAGACCGTGCATATATAGACAGTTGGTTTTGTTTTCTGTGCATTTGTGGTTTTGAACGATTGAGATGTTTCTGCACTGATTTCTTATGAATAATCTCTGCTTTTGCTTCGCGTTAGACTAACGTGACCTGCCAGAACTAACGCTACACTAGATTTCATTGGTGATGTAAGAATACATGCTTTTGAGTATACAGTATGTAAGATACACCTGAAATGCTTGTGAACTTTGAAAATCGCTGTGAATATTGATTTGGCCACAACACACAGGACGTTGAGTTGGAATGACTGGAAGAGGAATGTATTTTTAAAGAAATTCCCCCAAAATTACTTTTCAGGTTTGTGAACTTGTAAGTCTTATTAATGTTGTTTGGCTCCATTTTGAGAAGTTTGAGGTAAATTAGGGGAATTATGATTATGATTAATTTCTTTTCTTTTTTTTCTTATAAAAAGAATTATAATTTATAAATACAATTATTATTTATTTATATATAATTTATTATATACTATTTTATTATATACATATATATATATACTGTATATATGCATAATTTATATATAATCTATATATTTGCATAATTTATTACATACAGGAAATAAAAATTGTATATATATATATATATATATATATACTGTATATATATATACACACACATGAAAATCCATTTCTCATCATGCTTAAATTCATATTATATTATTATATAATCTCTCTCTCTCTCTCTCTCTCTCTCTCTCTCTATATATATATATATATATGTGAGTGTATATAATTTACTAAAATTTATATAATTTACTATATATAATGTCAATTATGCTAATTATATATATTCAAATTAATATTACCAGTGTAACTATGATCATCATCAAAGTGGCCAAAACATGAACAGTTAGACAATGAACAATTACCAATTTATTTATTTATTTATTACCTTTTTTTGAAAAGGGACCATGCACAATTTTAAAATAAATGCTTCCATTTCATGCATTGTACCGAATTGAGCCAATGGCTAATTTTCATTTTAACACAGCGTGTCATTTATAATAAAGGACGATGCACAAACACACTTTTTAAGTTGCAACAATATTAACTATTAACATTCATGTTCTTCACCAGCAGCATGGAGGAGTTCAAAGTTCAGACCGCCAAACACCCCGTACCCAACAGTTCACCCACGCGGCCCCACAGCGAGCACCCGAAAGATCACGCGGCCAAACGCCTATCCTCCGCCTCCAACGGCACGAGTGACGGAGGAGCGGGAGCCAAAACACCTGTGGAGATCACCGCGCTGGAGGAGTCCTTCCGCCGCTTCGCCATCCACGGAGACACGCGAGCCACCGGCAAAGACATGAACGGCAAGAACTGGTCCAAACTATGTAAAGACTGTGGCATCATCGATGGCAAGGGCATCACCCTCACAGACGTGGACATAGTCTTCTCCAAAGTCAAGTAAGTAAACATTTAGGACTAGAGCACAACAATTAGGCTATGGAAGTAAAAGTAACATTCATTTTCTACATAGAGAAATTAATTTTTTTGTTCTTGATGCACAGTGTTGGGGAAAGTTACTTTTAAAAGTAATGCATTACAATATTGCGTTACTCCCTAAAAAAATTTATTTGTGTTATTTAATACATTTAATTATTGCAGGTTTGCATTGCACTGTTTTCTTTCATTTTGAGGAATACTGGATCTGTTTTTGTGCAAGTGAGATAATGCATGTTCACATTTATTCTCTTGTTCACACAGCGCCTCTTACTCACTTACTCCCGATTTCTCTCAACACGGGGACAGGAGAGCTGTCAGTCAATACATGGGAAAACAAAGTAACTGGAGTTACTTATTTGAAAAAGTAACTCAGATATTGTATTGTAAATTAAAAAGTAATGCGTTACTTTACTAGTTACTTGAAAAAAGTAATCTGATTATGTAACTCGCGTTACTTGTAATGCGTTTCCCCCAACACTGCTGATGTAAAGGTAATGACTTGAGACGCACAATAAGACGAACATACAAATATACGTGCAATTACATTTTACATTCGTGCATTTAGCAGGCACTTTTATCCGGAAGCATTAATGCATTCAAAGCGGTATACATTTTATACATGCAGTGCATGCATTCCCTGTTTGAGCTACAATTAACATTTCCATCTCCCTTGCATCACTCACTTTGAGTTTGTTGCAGTGCATCCTGGGATTGCATTGTCTAAGAAGCATGCATGCGATGTTGTCTATGATTTTGGCCAATGCAGTGTGCCTCAAATGCTCAGTGCTATCTAGGTAGGATGTGATTACACTGTCAGCGAATTGAATTTTCTTGCGGACATCTGGCACAGTGTGTTGCATACACATAAACACAGATGTTGCAAAAACACTATGAGATCTGACTTAGACTGCGTTCAAATGTGGTTTTAAATCACATCTGGTCATCTGACCCACTTTTACACACTCGCATCCGATTCTCCTATTAATGCATCACTGTTTCACAGCAGGTTCAGGAAGGTTAGTGAATCATGCAGGGAAGACGTGAGTGAGTGACAGATTAATATGTGTGTATTTAGTCGTCCCTCTCATGTGCATGTCATCAGAAATCAGCTGTATCAGAGACTGAATGCTCCAAATGAGGGATAAAATTGTGTTTCTCAGCTGATTTGTGCATTATGCAATATGTGCGTGTTAATAGATGGGATAAAAAATTACGCACGTGTCAAAAGATCGAATCAGTGCAAAAGGCTTTGTAGTGTAGGGGTGTAACTGTGATATTTCCTGTAACAGTAACATATTTGCTTTTAATCTGTGCATGCATAAAATACACATTAATAAACATTAATAGAAATAAAATATATAATATATATTAAAACAAAAAAATTATAATATAATATAATAATATATATAAAATAAAATTACATTTTATTTCAGGTAGATGCCAAGGCAACCTTTTTTATTTTCGTTTAGTTTAAGTTGAAGTACTAAAATAACCAAAATTAAATAAACTAAAATGAAAAAAAAATAAAATATATATATATATATATATATTATTAATATAATATAATAATAGACGTTTTAAAAAAAAAGACAAAATACACAACAAAATTACTAAAACTTTAACAAATGAAAGTGAAAACAGAAAATCTAAATATTAACGAAAACTATATACTACAACAGTCTTATCAATGAAAGTGAAGAGGAGTCGTGCTGTGTTGATGTTTTTCTGGTTCTTCCCCCACAGCCACAGGCCGTGATGGCTCAAGCTGAATAACCCTGATGACTGCAGGACAGAGAGAGTCATCGCTGCTTCAGTAGGGCCAGATTTGAATAGCGTGCCCTTAATATAGAGCACCGTACACATTGATCTCGCCTTTAAACATTCAGTCTTCAGATGTTTAGATAATAGCGCTGGTTCGTTCAATTAGGAGAATTAATTTATCCAAATCTTTGTAGTATTCATGCATAGAAAACATTGTCTGCCTTTTATCAAGCCTGCAGTGGTGAAGAGATTCACTTCACCCCGACTGACCGAGAATAAATATCATTCTGCTAGTCAGAACAACGTGGCTGAGCAGAAACGAGAGGCGGAAAGAATGAATGCATGCAATATGTGGCATGCATTAACATTTAAAGGAAAAGTGCAACCAAAAAGGAAGTCAGTCCTAACCTTATAAGAGTATTATTAAACATTTTAATGCAGGTCTTTTCCTGTAAAGTATCAAAAAGGACAAAAAACACCATGAAAATATCATGACTGTAGTCCACACAACTCTTGTGTTATGTTAAAGCAAGCAAGCAAAATGTAAGTTATTTTAGCAAAATGTTTTGATGCTTCTCAGGTGTTTTTTGACCTATTTGAGCCTGACTGCATGAGCCAAACAGAGCGTGCAGTCAGTGTGTGTGTGTGTGTGTGTGTGCTCAGAAGCTCAGGCCAAAGATCAAGATTGCAGTCATACAGCATCAGAACTAAAGGCACGCGTCTGCTTTAATCAGTGTTAATGTTAATGATGCTTGATAAAGCCTCGGCGCATTTAAAGCTGCAGCACACCACAATGCAAACATTACAGTACTCCCTCATTCAGCACGTAATACCACATTACAGACAAATAGACTAAAAACATAATCATAACACAGCCGTCTTTTCTCTGGTTTGCACAGATATTATTACCTAATTTGATGATGCTGAGTTCAAAAATATAATAATATAATCCTGTCTTTGGATAAAAGTGTCTGCTAAATGCATAAATGTAAATCTAAATGTAAACTGGGGTTCATGAGTTGATTAAAAGCTTATGATTAACAAACCATAAAGAAAAAATAAAATAAATAGTTTTAAAATGTAAAAAATAAATAAAACACTTACTAAACATATCACATGACCATTAACCGACATCAGAGAACAAAGAACGTGAATTTGTTGTTAAATTACTGAAATATTAACTCAAATCTCCCTCCAACTTGAAAAAAATTCTTCTGATTTGCATATATAATATTACCTAATTTGATGATGCTGAGTTAAAAAAAAATCTCAGTAAAAATCCATTGTGTAGTTCTTTACAAAATAAGAATATTTCAAATTTAGCAAATTACAAACACACACATATATATCAGCTTTAATGCACTTATCAAAATAAAAGCAGTCAAATGTCAACAATTTTAATGATAACTTACAATCTGCTCAAGGAGTGGAAAAATGTTCAAATACTCTCTTTAATGTCAAAAACTTTAAAGCTTTTCCATTAAATCTGTACTTTTCTCTGGCTGTTTCAATGCAGTAAAACACAAATGTAGCCAAAAACATCTTGCTGGAAAAAATACAAAATATTGACATCAAATAATGTCATGCGTGAAAATGGGCTAATTGAACTAATCGCTGTAATCTAGGCTCAGATTCAGACAGGAATCATGACTTTATGGCAGTTTTTCGGCTGATTAAGTGAGAGTACAAGACTTCTTCGCCAACAAATGCTGGTTGAAAGCAAAAATGCAACAATATGCGTCATATTTTGTGAAAAAGAGATATGCTCGAGCAAAACAGATAATATTCAGCTCCTCAAAATGAGTAAGAAACAAGTATTGGGTTTCATTCAGCAAATAAGATGCAGAGCTGTTGTGATTTATATGTGTGTTTATATACATATACATATATACTTTACTTTTCCTGTAAAGGACAAAAAACACCATGAAAATATCATGACTGTAGTCCACACAACTCTTGTGTTATGTTAAAGCAAGCAAGCAAAATGTAAGTTATTTTAGCAAAATGTTTTGCTGCTTCTCAGGTGTTTTTTGACCTGTTTGAGCCTGACTGCACGAGCCAAACAGAGCGTGTTGCATCTGTTGTGATTTATATGCGTTCATAAATGCATATGTAGGGTAATATTGCTGTTTATGACTAGCATTCTGCACATCCTCATAGTTGAGAAGAGAGCAGTGAGAGAGAACAGCGGCTGACATTAGACAGCAGCGCTGAAGAATCGCACAAACAAAACTGCTCAGCAAAGAAATCGAATTAATTATAAATCCATAGAGGCGTGTTTACCCAAGCTTGCTGCTATGACACGGCCAGCTTTATAGGCTTTTGATCACCACGGTAAAGGCTGTTTGTATTCGTGTTACTATGTGCACCGTTTTAAGCGTTGCTTTACGGGCCGAATGCATTCGCCGTAAGTGCATGCCTGGAGTCATAATGCAAATCCTGCTTCAAGACCAGTTAAATCAGCCGTTCTCAGCTAGTTCTGCTTCAGGACGCTGATTTTGGTGAGCAAACACAGAACCAAAACTGTTTATCGTACTGAAGTAAACGAAATACCGTGCAGTTTGATTGGACGCTCGGTTCTTGAGGGCAACAACTACAGATACAGGAAGCATTTCCTCTCTTTCAAAGATGATTAAAAGTGCATTTCTTCTTCTGAAATGAAAGACTCGTGTGTAGCGACCCAAACTCTGTATGGCCGTGACGCCGGGCCACTGCTGTCGGTTCATGCAACACTTTCAGAGGCCTTTATCCAAGTACTTACTGTGCAAACTTTTCTTCTTCAGTAGAACAGTAAAGAAGATTTTCAGCTGAAACCGTGCTCCTTTGTGATTCATAAAATGCAAGTCAGCAGCTTCTGTCAATTTGATCATATCAGGCAACACAGAATTAATATCCGTGGCTCCTGATGATATATTGAGGTCTTATGAAGCGAAACGATCAGTCTGTGCAAGAATCTGAACATTATTTACTACATTATCACCTGTAATCCAGAACCTCAGGCGAACAGGAAATCTGATTATTTACCACGATGTGGTTCTTTCAGACAGTGTGTTTCAATGAACTGGTTCAATTCACTAGTTTGTTAACATAATCACTCAATGACATAAAATATACGCAATTATATTATTAAAGCACCCAATAATGAAGTGAAACATGGATGTTTTATGTGTCTAAAGCATATAAAGTGAATAAAACTAGTCTTCATCAGCTCAACTTTTTACTTAAACAATGAGAAACCATAAAATGTTCATTTGGCCCCTTCGTCAAGTGCTGGGTTCACGCATGCGCATATTTCCTCAGTTCAGTGACTGAGGCGACTCGAATGATTCATTCATCATAGGATCAGATTCGCCGCTATTTCAGCTCATTTCCAGTCGGAGTGACTGTCAGGCGTCTGAAAGTGAGTTTCGATTGAGTAACTTGTAGATCTGTGCTGCTCGAGACCTGAACTGTTTCAGACGCTTCAGTCAGATTTGGTGAACTGGTTCAACTCACTAAAAAGAACCGGTTCAGAAGAACGATTCGTTTGTGAACCAGACATCACTCTGGACTGTTCGCCTGAGGCTCTGGATTACAGGTGATAATGTAGTAAATAATGTTCAGTTTCTTGCACAGACTGATCGTTTCGCTTCATAAGACCTCAATATATCATCAGGAGTCACGGGGATTCATTCTGTGATGCCTTTTTTGACTCTCAAAGTGACGGTAGCCATTGGCTTGCATTTAAGAATCACCAAGGCCCACGGTTTCAACTAAAAATCTTCTTCACTGTTCTACTGAAGAACAAAACTCATCTTAACAGCTGACTAAAATGTTTGGGTGAACTATCAATTGAAAGTATATTTCAAAATCATCATTTACTGACCCTCGTGTTGTTCACACGCTGTGTTATTTCTCGTGTAAAATGCAAAAGCAGAACATCCAAGCTGCAAATGTCGGAGTGACTGTCAGGCGTCTGAAAGTGAGTTTCGATTGAGTAACTTGTAGATCTGTGCTGCTCGAGACCTGAACTGTTTCAGACGCTTCAGTCAGATTTGGTGAACTGGTTCAACTCACTAAAAAGAACCGGTTCAGAAGAACGATTCGTTTGTGAACCAGACATCACTCTGGACTGTTCGCCTGAGGCTCTGGATTACAGGTGATAATGTAGTAAATAATGTTCAGTTTCTTGCACAGACTGATCATTTCGCTTCATAAGACCTCAATATATCATCAGGAGTCACGGGGATTCATTCTGTGATGCCTTTCAAAGTGACGGTAGCCATTGACTTGCATTTTATGAATCACCAAGGCCCACGGTTTCAACTAAAAATCTTCTTCACTGTTCTACTGAAGAACAAAACTCATCTTAACAGCTGACTAAAATGTTTGGGTGAACTATCAATTGAAAGTATATTTCAAAATCATCATTTACTGACCCTCGTGTTGTTCACACGCTGTGTTATTTCTCGTGTAAAATGCAAAAGCAGAACATCCAAGCTGCAAATGTTTTTCAGTGTCACTCAAAGTGTTTCTCTCATGTGTTTACAGAAGCTCTTTTAATCAGGTCTTGCATGTTTCTGCTCTGCTCTGTATTTATATTTGATGCCACAATATATACAGACGAATTTATCATCCATTTGTTATTGTTTTCCAGGAACAAATCTGCGCGCACTATTACATACAGCCAGTTCAAAGAAGCGCTCGAAGAGCTCGCCAGGAAACGCTTCAAAGATAAGAGCAGCGAGGACGCCGCGGAAGAGGTTTACAGAATGATAGAAGGGAAATCACCCGTTATAGCTGGAGTCACGGTAAAGCCCACTGCAGACGTGCTGCTCTTTCTCTAAATCAATAAGCGTTGATAGTATCCTGTTTTTCTCAAACTTTTGGATAAAAGAGTTCGCTAAATGCATAAATGTAAACTGGGGTTCATGTGTTGATAAAAAAAAAATAAAATGTTTTCATATAAAAATCAATAATTAATCATAAAAATTTAAATAATATATATATATAATAAAGAATAAAACCTGCATTTTTAATATTTATATTTTTAATTAATATTATCTTTAATATTAAAGTATTTTAAATCATTTATTTTTTCATCTTCATTTAATGTGACCATTAACAGACATCAGAGAACTGTGAAATTGTCAAATTATTGAAATATTAACTTAAAATGTCTGGGTGACCTGAGGTAAATATTTGAGATCAAACTGGTTTGGATGACAGAAAAGTTTGGGAATGCCTCCTGTAGTATATGGATGATATCTACTTACTTATTGCTTTAATTATTGCTTTTAAATGTATGTGAATGAATAGCGTTTACAGCTTAATAACTAAACTGTCTGGTGATTTCTAAATGTAATGATTGTGATGATTATATGACAGTGATGATAAATATGAAGACTTCATGAGCTTATACACGTTTGGGTTCAGTAGGATTTATTTTACAGAAATTAATACTTCTATTCAGCAAGGATGCATTAAATTGATCAAAAGGGACATTTATAATGTTACAAAAGATTTTTATTTCAAATAAATGCTGTTCTTTTGATCTTTCTATTCATATGTGAATCCTGAAAATAAAATGTATCACTATTTTTTGCAATATCGGGCAGCACAACTGTTTTCATCATTGATAATAATCAGAAATGTTTCTCGAGCAGCAAATCAGCATATTAGAATGATTTCTGAAGATCATGTGACACTGAAGACTGGCGTAATGATGCTGAAAATTCAGCTTTGATCACAAAAATAAATTACAGTTTACAATATACTCACATAGAAAACAGCTATTTTAAATTATAATAATATTTCACAATTTTGCTGTATTTTTGATCAAACAAATGCAGCCTTGGTGAGCAGAAGAGACTAATTTATAAAACGGAATTGATCATAAGTCTCTTTCTGGACTCACAGAGAACCATTGCTTCCCCGACCGTGTCCCGTTTGACCGACACCACCAAGTTCACCGGATCGCACAAGGAGCGTTTTGACGAGACGGGCCGCGGGAAGGGCAAGGCAAGGCGAGTGGAATTGGTGGACACGTCCGGATACGTGTCTGGATACAAGCACGCAGGATCATACGAGAAGAAAATTCAAAAACCTCCCCAAAAACCCATGTGAGATTCTCCGTCCAGCAGTGAACCCGACTCTATAAAGCACAAACAGATCTCCCATTTTCCACTGAGGGTACGTCTTTTTCTGTGAATAACATTGAGTTTGTTCCTCTTCCTATAAGTGTTTTATTTCTAACTGGAACGCTGTTTACATCAAACGCCGACGTCACCAGCTGGTACGTTCCTAACAAACACGATGATGCCAAGAGAAAGACAAATGGCTACAGTATTGCACGCTTACTAGTGAAGGTTTTTGCTGTTAATCTGTGGTGAATATTGACATGAAATGAATATTTGGCATTTTGTGGCTTCTCTAATGATGCAGTAGAATCAGGCCTAAAATAGACTTTAAATGCTTGAGTAATGCAGTGCATGTCCACAATTTGCGTTACAACAACACACAAAACATTTCCATTAATTTTTTTAAATGCATTTGGCAGATGCTTTTATCCAAAGCAACTTGCATTGCATTTCAGGGCTAAATCAGTTCATGCATTCACTGGGAATCGAACCCATGACCTTGGCATTTCTAACACCATGCCCTTTCACACGGCAATCCTGGTAAATTACCGTAAAATGACCAGAATGACTTTACAATAAGTATGCTGTTCACACAAGCAACGGCGTTCTGGCTTTTTACCGGTAAGAGATTATTCACACATCAGCACCAAAATACCAGTAAATTCTGTGATGTCAGTCATCAGAAATAATCTTTCAAAGCTGCGGCGTTGTCTTCATTCGTCCACACGAGGAAAATGGAAAAGAAGGCCGGGTCTCGAGCGCAACACATTGAAAAAGCAGCGAGACGTGTCCAACGGTCAAAGTTGTCCATCTAGTGCATATTTACATAGAAAAACTAATTAAAAGCAGCGGAGCTTACTGTAAACAGCTCAGAGTAATCACCTCATCTGCATAAGAACTATATGATTGGCCCAAAGCAGACTTCATTCGTCAGCGCGTTCTGACTTTGCATGTGCTCATACGGGTAATCTTCATTCTGCGTTCACACACAGCATCGTACCGTTAATTTACTGGTAATGTTACAACTTCCCTTACTGGTAAATTGCAGAACCGGTAATTTACCAGTAAAGACTGTATGTGTGAAAGGGGCTTATGTTTCAGGCCTACAATAAAATATATTTAAATGTATTTGTCTTAGTATAAATTATGCATAATTTGAAGGAATATTTTACCAAAAAATGGAATTTGCTGAAAATGTGCTCATCCTCAGGCTATCCAAGATTAGGATGAGTTTGTTTCTTCATCAGATTTGGAGAAATGTAGCATTGCATCTGTGTCTCAGCAATGGATGCTCTGCAGTGAATGGGTGCCGTCAGAATGAGAGTCCAAACAGCTGATAAAAACATCACAATAATCCACAAGTAATCCACAGCACTCCAGTCCATCAGTTAACATCTGGAGAAGACAAAAGCTGAAACAAATCATTCATTAAGACGTTTTTAACTTTAAACAGTTGCTTTCAGCTAAAATACGAGTCTATATGTGTAATTTGTGTGAAAGGGGCTTATGTTTCAGGCCTACAATAAAATATATTTAAATGTATTTGTCTTAGTATAAATTATGCATAATTTGAAGGAATATTTTACCAAAAAATGGAATTTGCTGAAAATGTGCTCATCCTCAGGCTATCCAAGATTAGGATGAGTTTGTTTCTTCATCAGGTTTGGAGAAATGTAGCATTGCATCTGTGTCTCAGCAATGGATGCTCTGCAGTGAATGGGTGCCGTCAGAATGAGAGTCCAAACAGCTGATAAAAACATCACAATAATCCACAAGTAATCCACAGCACTGCAGTCCATCAGTTAACATCTGGAGAAGACAAAAGCTGAAACAAATCATTCATTAAGACGTTTTTAACTTTAAACAGTTGCTTTCAGCTAAAATACGAGTCTATAATTCATAATTCCTCCAGTGAAAAAGTCCATCTCCTGTTGTCTCTCACATCAAAATCCAGCCACTTATTTGTTTAGAGCTGTTTTGGCTTTTATACGGTGCTTGATCTGTGCAGATTTCTCTCCTGATTCACACCAGACCACTTTTTCACTGGAGGAAGCGTTATTATGGATTTCATTAAGACGTTTTTAACTTTAAACAGTTGCTTTCAGCTAAAATACGAGTCTATAATTCATAATTCCTCCAGTGAAAAAGTGCATCTCCTGTTGTCTCTCACATCAAAATCCAGCCACATATTTGTTTAGAGCTGTTTTGGCTTTTATACGGTGCTTGATCTGTGCAGATTTCTCTCCTGAGTCACACCAGACCACTTTTTCACTGGAGGAAGCGTTATTATGGATTATGAACTCATATTTTAGTTAAAAACGTCTTAATGCTGGATTAGTTTCAGCTTTTGTCGTCTCCAGATGTTAGCCGATGGACTGGAGTGCTGTGGATTATTGTGATGTTTTTATCAGCTTTTTGGACTCTCATTCTGACGGCACCCATTCACTTGCAGAGCATCCATTGCTGAGACACTGATGCAATGCTACATTTCTCCAAACCTGATGAAGAAACAAACTCGTCTACATCTTGGATGGCCTCATAATGAATACATTTGCAGCAAATTTTCATTTTTTGGTGAATTAATTTAGATGCATTTATGGCTTGACTTTATAATCGTTTGGTTCTGCTTCCCCGTCTCATTTACCAAGATTTTACTCTAAAAAATCGACTGATTTTGTTTGCATTTCACATATATTTTATAATAATAACCGAATGCATCACAAGTTATTGTTTGATGCATAAAAAATTGACTGCTGGTGCTCAAGATTGTATATCTAGAAGTTTGGTCGATGTTTTTTGAAGTTGATGGCATAACCATGTATTTCTAATGCTATAATGGCATAATATGAAGCACTGCCTGTGTGTTTTAATTGTGGAGTGATTAACTATAGTATGTAAACGGAAACACCATCAGCAAAAGTTCAGGATTTTTTCGTTATTTCCCTGTTTGCTCTGCATCACAATATCTGACCCAATGCATGATGCGTTATCATACCTCAATACAGACCAGCGGGAAACGTGGCCGACTGTCCTTAGAAAACTCCTCGGTGCATCGGAACTAAAAGCTTTGGCCAAACATGACAAAAACAAATAGTTGGCAGAAGTTTCTAATGATTTGAACACGTATAATCAGACCCACACAGAGTCTGCTGCGCTGAATTAGGAACGTCCAAATTGCATGTTTGTTCATGAAATACTTATCTTTCTGCCTACTCTAAGCTTTATTATTAGCACATTTACCATATTAAAATCCATTATGTAGCATTGAAAATGCGATTAAGCCTGCAGATTCTGTCTGGGCCTGATTATCAGCAATAGATCAAACTGCAAATTAAATTACTAAAAGGTGTTTTGTATTCTGCTGTGGATTTTAGTTTGAAAAGTACTGTTGTAAAATTTAAGGCCATATCGAGGCACTTTGCTATTTTCATACGTGCAGTGTTTCTGCCTACAGAACAATGTTTACAAGAGAAGTGACATGCTGTAACTAACGCTGGCATGGCATACGTCTAAATGAATACATTCCCTTTACCATAACTAGTGTTCGGAGTTATTTATAAACGCACTGCCATCTGAACACGCTGGACGAGATCCAACCGTCAGGGTTCCCACACTTCTGACCAGTCAGTGACTTTCCATGAGATTTCCAGAACATTCCGATTCACTAATGAATCATTCAAACTGATGACTGCTTTATGGCTTGCAAACAAGTTTTACTCAATGCAAGCGCAATATTTTCAACAGAACATTACTACTAGTCAAATCTATATTCATCATACATATTTTAAGACCTTTAAAGATTTTATGACTTTTCCCAATTTAGTAAACACAAAATGTAAAATTCCCTAAAATTTTTTTACGTGATAAACTGATTTGTGAACCACTGATTCACTGAATCAACTCAAAATAATGATTCACTCAATTCAGTTTTACTTGAGCCAATTTAATATTTTAGAGCATAGAGCAGATTAAAATAACTTTTCCAGATCTAGAAAACACAAAATGTAAAATTCCCTAACATTTTTTTACGTGATAAACCGATTTGTGAACCACTGATTCACTGAATCAACTCAAAAGAATGATTCACCCAATTCAGTTTTACTTGAGCCAATTTAATATTTTAGAGCATAGAGCAGATTTTTTAAATAACTTTTAAGATTTTATGACTTTTTCAGATCTAGAAAACACAAATGTAAAATTCCCTAACATTTTTTTACTGATAAACCGTTTTGTGAACCACTGATTCACTGAATCAACTCAAAAGAATGATTCACTCAATTCAGTTTTACTTGAGCCAATTTAATATTTTAGAGCATAGAGCAGATTTTTTAAAAAACTTTTACAATTTTACGACTTTTCCAGATCTGAAAATCACATATTTTAAACTATGTGATGATGGGAACCTTGAAGTTTGTAATAGACGATATTGTCCATGTCTATGGAGTGAAGAAGGGAGGAGTGAGAGTGTACAGACATATTCTTATTCATATTCATATTCTACAGAACATCTATTTTCAAAAAAGAATAGTGGCTACGGATCATAAATGTCAAGCTCTCCTGCAGAAAGTGACTCATATTTATGATAACAAACCACAAATAAGTATATATGTTGTTGTATTTAAGTATGATTGTAATGTTTTGCTTAATGCCAAATATTGTTAACCATGCTTTTTGAGGAACAATACTGACTTATTTTTAAATAATGTTTTTTAATGTTCTGCAGTATCCTGATATGCATGTCATATGGTGATGGTAAAACGATTTTAACGTGTCAGTGTTTTGTAGCATCGTATTGAATAAAAAAACAAAAAACTGCCTGGTTCTCGTTTATTTCTAACGCACATGAAGACTCGAAGGATTGTGTTCTGCAACAGCGGAGCATAGTGGAGATCGGGGCTAGTTGTCACGTGGTTTTTTAACAGGGGTTTCTGCAGGTTTTATGAAGGGCAATTTAAGACATTAAGACCAAATAATGAGAATTTAAGGACCAAATTGTAAGGTTTCTTAAATCAAGATGCACTGAGAAGCAAAATGACAAGATAAGTCGTTTTGTTTTCTGAGAAATTTATCAAAATGAATATTTATGATCAAAACAAGAAAAAATATCTGGGCTCAGAAAAAAAACATTAATTTTCATACCTCATTGACCGATGTTTGTTCTTGTTTTAAGCATAAACTCATTTAATTTTGTTCTATTTCTCAAAAAATAAGACTTACATGATCTTCATTTTGGATTTCGAGTAAATGGATCTTGATTTAAGGATGTTTAGATGTTTGTACTGGAAAACAACATTTAATGCCATGACTTTATGAATTGAAGACTTTCTGACTTTTTAAGGCCTTCATTTGTGGAAGGGTGAATTAAGATTTTTTAAAGACCCACAGAAATCATGTTTAAAGTCTGTCTGAACAGAAAACTTACCTTGTCA